AAGAAGAAGAAGAAGAAGTTGATGAGAATTTTGAGATGGAAGATTAACGTAAGGATTAAACAATGATAACAACAAATGTCAAGGTTAGAGGATCCACTAATGATATGTCAAATAAGTATAGTATAAACTCTTATTATTCAATTGGAAACCACACACAAAGTAGGTTCCAATTAGATTATAAATTATTAACATGATTACATTAATTATCTTATTCGATTAATTCTAATACTTGTAAATGTTGTCAAGCATTTGATTAGCACTTAAAAGTACATTTTTATCGAGGTTTTATATTATCATTTTGCACTTGAAGTATCAATAAATAATTCCTTAACTAAAACATGTTTTATAATAACATATCTAATAATATAAGATACATTTAATTTGTGGTAAATGTTCATTTTAAATGCAGATCTATCACATAAATAAAAGGATTGATTGATGAGTTTAAGAATTGAAATTAAAAGGACAGAGAGATGGTCAAACATAGAAAAGAGATAATGATGCAGTCCAAACCGGAACACTGTTTGATAATTGGATCATATCTGAAGTTGTAGATCTCATATTTAGATCTAATTTATATAGATGGAAAGGTAAGAAACAAGCCTACAACTTTCATGGGAGCCCAAGATTTAAAGTCACTTTCAAGTCCAAATTATAGCAATAACGAAGAAGTTTGAATCTGTCCTACAGCCCAAACACTGTTCAGTGTTTGACCCATATCTAAAGTTTTAGAAGTCCAAATGACCTCCATTTTTTCCCTAAAAAACAGAGATAATTTCCTAAAACTTTCATGTTTTCAAGTGGTTCCGATTCTAACGTTATCAATGATGTTTGGGGTAGACAAGAGAAGATAAGGATTGTCACCAAGTCAAGAGTTGGTCACCCACTTATTAATTAGTTATCAATTCAATAGTTCCCAATTTTGGCATATAAAAAGAGGCATTTGCCATGCATTTAAGAATCTTGGTTTCCAGATCAAGATTATGCTCTTGCTTTTCTCTCTTTATAGCTTTGTATTGTTTATGTTTTGCTTTCATTAATATCAAGTTTATGCCTTTCATATCCTTTCCTTTACTTAGTTAACTTTTATCTTATTTATGTTCTTATTTTGTTTATTTATTTTTCTTTCATTCATTATATTTAGGTAAGTTTATTATGTCAAGGTGAAAAGGTTACACTAATGGTGTAAGAATAAGTATACTGTAAACTCAACATGGACCTTAATATTTAATACTAACATGTTTTGTATTTGTTATCTTGTTCACTTTTAATACTTTGCTTGTTAAATGGTTAATCTAGATTAATGTTGTATAACACTTGATACAACAAATACTTGGCACTTTCATAGCCCATATTGTATGGTATAACCGGCACCTGAGCTATGAAAGGAACTTGATTTGTTGTTAACATAAGTTATAATCATGAATGCTTGACCATATTTACAAGTATTAGCATTATTTGAATAAGATAACTAATGTAATCATGTTAACAATATATAATTTGATTGGAACCTCCTTTGTGTGTGGTTTCCATTTAAGTAATAACAGTTTATACTATACTTGTTTGACATACCATTAGTAGATTCTCCAACCTTGACATTTGTTGTTATCATTGTTTAATCCTTACTTTAATCTTCCATCTCAAAGTTCTCATCAACTTCTTTATTATTATTATTATTATTATTATTATTATTATTATTACTACAATCACTATTACTACCACTACCACCACCACCACCACTATTATTATTATTGTTGTTGTTTTTGTTGTTTTTGTTGTATTATTGTTATCTATAATTTATACAATTAACCATCTGTGCTTCGACCCCAGTCTTGCTGGATTATTTATTACTTCGACACTCCTGCACTGTGGAGAAAACATCAATCTTTTAGTCATGTCAGTATTCATGATTATAACTTATGTTAACAACAAATCAAGTTTCTTTCATAGCACAGATGTTAGTTATACCATATAGTATGGGTTATAAAAGTGTCAAGTATTTGTTGTGCCAAGTGTTATACAATATAAATCTAGATTAGCCATTTAACAAGCAAAGTATTAAAAGTGAACAAAATAACAAATATAAAACATGTTAGTATCAAACATTAAGGTCTATATTGACTTTATATTATACTTATTCTTACACAATTAGTGTAATTTTTTCACCTTGACATAATAAACTTGGCTGAATATAATGAAAGAAAGAAACATAAATAAACAAAATAAGAACAAAAATAAGATAAAAGTTAACTAAGTAAAGGAAAGGAAATGAAAGGCATAAACTTGATATTAATGAAAGCAAAACTTAAGCAATACAAAAATACAAAAAGAGAAAGCATAAGCATGATCTTGATCTGGAAACTAAGATGCCTAAATACATGGCAAATGCCTTATCTTCTCTTGTCTAAATAAAACATCATTGATAATGTTAGAATTTGAACCCGACCTCCACATGAAATTGTATGAAATTTTCTCAGTTTTTCAAAGAAAACAATTCAAGTCATTTGGACTTCTAGAACTCAAGATATGGGCTAAACACTGAACAGTGTCTAGGCTGCAGGACAGATTCAGACTTCTTCGTTGTTACTACAATTTGGACTTGAAAGTGGCCTTATTAAAACTAGACCTCCACATGAAAGTTGTAGGCCTATATCTTACCTTTCCATCCATATAATATAGACCTAAATCCAAGATCTATAGCTCCAGATATGACCTAATTACCGAAAAGTGTTCCGGTTTGGACTGCACTAACATCTCTTTTCTAAGTTTGACCATCTCTTTATCCTTTAAATTTCGGTACTTAAACTCATCAATCAATCCTCTTATTTATGTGATAGGCCTCCATTTAAGATGAATATTCACCACAAATTAAAGATATCTTATATTATTAGATATGTTATTATAAAACATGCGTTAGTTAAGGAGTTATTGATACTTTAAGTACAAAATGATTATATAAAATATAAAACCTTAATAAAAATGCACTTTTAAGTACTAATCATACCCCACAACCAGCTTATTATTAGTTCCAAGTAATCAAAGCATTAAAATAGAAAAATAATTTGCGAATTCCACAAAGCAAGACATTTATCATTTAACTTCCATTAATCTATCTAGATAAACAAACTCATTAAATTTATATATTTTCTTAATATCTTTTAAACAAGATATTAATAAACCTTTCCTTTGTGCTCAATATATCAACACATAGTTGTAGGGCTTTTCTTGGAAAAAAACAAATTTTTTGTTCTAATATTTAAAGTTAACTTTCTTGGGTTGGGATTATTATTATTTTTTCTCTTTTTTTAATATATATATATATATATAAACTTAAAACACGATGCATCTTTAACCCATGTAACGAGCTTTCGGCTAATGACTTCCAGACTAGTTGATCTTAGAGCATTAGGTGTTGAGACATCCCTATAAGTTTAGTAACTCAAGTTGCAGATACTGATATGTAGATAGTGTAATGTTTGATTCCCTTAAGCTTTTCTCCTTAACTCATGTAACAAGCATTGGGCCAATAGCTCCCAAGTCAGTTTGCCTTAGGGTATTAAGTGTTAAAACATCCTTTTGGGCTTAATTGCTTAGGTTAGGGAGGCTACAAAACCAAACTTATCTACGTTTTTATTATCAGCATCATTTTCTTTGCTCTTTTTTTGGCAAATTATATACTATCCCTTTTTTTTAATTGTTACCTTTAACAAAATAACATAAATAATATAATAATCCAATTTGGAACCCACAATCATATGTTAAAGTGTGTGTGTGAAAATTAAGGTTTAAGAATACAAGTTAAATGAGTATATAAGCAGAATTAAGTGATAACAATACAAGAGTTTGTAAACTTGAATATTTCAAGAAGTATTATGATAGATCTTGTTATGAATATTGCAAATAACCATTGAAAAATATTAACCAAGATATGTCTCAAGAGTCAATAAAATTCCTCCTTACTCTACCATCTAAGTAACAACAATTTGCAAATGGTTTATAAAAATGAAAACACGGATAGTTCTTTTTTTTTTTAATATCAACTACAACAATTTGCAAATGGTTTATGAAAAAGAAAACACAGTTAGTTCTTTTTTTTAATATCAACTACTACCCTCTCCTCCCAACAAAAATGAGACATTGTCCTTAATGTTATAAGGTAGAAAGATAGAGTATAAAAGATATCACCTGAAATACCGAACACCAACAATCTTGAAACACATTTAAACAAATATAAAAAACAACAAAACATATTAATAAAACCAAAAGACATAAAGATTCACAAATGAAGGCCTAAATATAATCTAAGGTTTTTATGGCTTTCCTTAGTTGACCAATTTATGTGACTCATGGAGGGATCAATTACAAGAATAAAAGATTATAGTTGGTCAATCAATTATTTAGTAGTAGGAGCAGAGATCATGATTTGTCGTGCAGAAGATGTTAGAAATTCATGTTCCACAACATGATCAAAAAAAGACAATTACTTATCATAATAACCATTAACATTTAACAAACCTATGGGTTTATGATGAATGTGTAGTTGGGCCCAAGAAG